GAATACTATACCCAATACCTATCTTTCAAAACCAAAAGGATGACAAAGACTTTCTCAGACAAACAACTGCTTAGAGAGTTTATCATTATTTGACCCGCCTTATAAGAAATCCTAAAGGGAGTTCAAGCTGAACAAAGAGAATGCTAACTAGTAACATGAAAACATATGAAAGTATAAAACTCGTTGGTAAAAGTACATACATCGCCAAATCCAAAACATTCTAATATAGTAAAGGTGGTGGGTAAATCAATTATATCTCAGGCATAAAAGTTAAAAGCCAAAACTATTAACAACCAAAGCTACAATTTGTTAAGGGATACAAATTATTAAAAAAATTTAAAGTATCACATAAAAAACATAAAACTTGGGTAGGGGGAGTAAAAGAGTAGTATGCGATCACAATTAAGTTGTTATCAACTTAAAATAGCTTGTTATATATTTTTTGTAAGCCTCAAAATAACCACACACTAAAAGCCTAAAGTAGACATACAAAATATAAAAGAAAGATCCAAAGCATACCACTACAGAAGCCATCAAACCACAAAAAAAAGCAATCAAGAGAGGAAGGATCTACAAAAGAACCAGAAAACAGGTAACAAAATGACACTAGCAAGTCCTCGCCCATCAATAATTACTTTGACTGTAAATGGGTTAAACCCCCCAATCAAAAGGCACAGAGTAGCTGAATGAATAAAGAACAGGATGCAATTATATGCTGCCTACAACTGAATCACCTTACCTTAAAGGACACTGAAAGACAGAAAGGGATGGAAAAAGATATTCGATGCAAACAGAAACAAAAAGAGAAAAAGAATAGCTATATATTTCAGATAAAATAGATTTTAGATCAAAAACTGTAAAAAAGAGACAAAAAGGTCATTATATTGTGAAAATGGGGTCAATTCATCCAGAGGATATAACAATTATAAATATATATGCACCCAGCATCAGAACACCTAAATATATAAAGAAAATGTTAAGAGATCTGAAGACAGACATAGACTGCAACACAATAACAGTAGGGCATTTTAATACCCCACGTTCAACAATAGACAAATCATCCAGACAAAAAAATCA